GGAGACAGGACAAAAATTGTTAAGGGCTGTCAGATCCAGCAGAGTTCCTTGAGAAGGGAACAGGCCACTGCTTCCCTCAAGGATGCATTCACCACTGCCTTGATCCAATCACACATCATCTCCTGGTTTGTTCTTCGTCTTCTTCCAACATCCCTCTAGATGTCTTTTCTGCCATTTTAATCTCCAGGAGTTTAAGCTCCTGAGCTCCCCAGACAAGAAACCATCTAGAAGTGTTGGGAGTCTAGTGGCATGCAAATTTAACAAACAAATAATAATGTCTGGGCAGGCACAATCAGATCCATGACCACTGTTGCCTTTTCACTGCAAAAGGTAAGGCATCAGAGTATTCTACAGCTGTGCACCACTGAACAACTGATGGGCAACACTTTGCTACTAGGTCTCCAAACTACCCAGTCAGCAGCACATTCCAGTCTGGCTCCTGGTCAAACATAGGCTACCCAGCACAGCTCAGGAGACCACTATGAAGACTGTGCCTGTCTCCTGTAGCCACTATAAACCTCTGCACACTCACTCACAGCTCAGAGGGGATCCAAAGACCCTCAAAATCTTCCTCCGTCCTTCCAACATCCACAAACTGTCATTGGTGTACTTCACCAATAACTTCTATGGTCTGTGTTTAACATTAATCAAGTCTCAGTGCCATTACAAAAACAAAACAAAACCCAAAACAAAACCCCCATTCCTTGTTTTCTATCTTTCCAGCTCCAACTCTAATACTTTGAATTTCATGCTAGTAAAAATAACTACACAAGGAAAAAAAATAGAAATCATAAAGTAGCCTGCTGGGATAAATAAGGGATCAGTGTGCAGTTATTTCATTTGCGTATGCTTTGACTCTATTATAAAGGTAGGGATGCAGAATCTTTTTTCTGCTAGTCTGTGCTTTAAAGAATGGACCAGGCCAAACAAAGAAGTGGTGGGGTCAAGGCAAAAACCACATTTAAATATAAATTACATTAAGATGAAGTTAAATAAATGCAGGTAATCTAGTTACTTCCTATTGCTTTAATAATGTTCACTTTCTGTCTTTAAAAATTAGAGCTTGGGGGAGTGGGTGCAGCTGGCAAGAGAAAGGGATCTTCAACGGTGTTTGGAAAAGTATTTTGGGAAAAATAGACAATCTTTTCTTGTTAACATGAGTTGAAATGGGTTGGGGAGGAAACAAATTTTGACGGATAGCTGGACTAGTGGGTTTGCTCTGATCTGGCATCAGTGTTTTGGGCAGGTGTATATCAGCTGGCAGTTGGGCTCCTTTTGACATAAATGTAGCAGTATTTATTTATTCATTCAATTTATATGGCTGCCCATCTCAAATTCATGACCCTGGGCGGCTAATAACAGTTAAAAACACAATAAATTGCATAACAATAAAAAACAACACTCACATAAGCAGCAGCTGAGGTAAAGAAAACCAGAACAACCAACACAAATCAACATAACCATTGTGTGGGCTCTTCCACACAGCCAGATCCCCAAGCTTGGTGACAAAACCATGTCTTTAAGGCCTTACGAAAAGGCCAGCAGGATCAGGATTAATCTAATCTCTGGGGGGATTCTGGAATACTGCTATTCTGGAACAGCATTAAACTCTTGTTGAAAAGTAGCCCCCTCCCAAAAAAGCTGGCAGGCAGGTGTGGTTGTGAGGTAAAGGGAAGGGGGTCTCCCATCTCATCTTTCTGCTGCCTCTTGGACCAATCAACAGTGGAATTAGTTTTAGATAGAGTTTTACAGCTCTTCTAAAAGAGCAGGAAGCCTGTGCTTAAACCGTTTTGAACACACAGCCAGAAGAGATGACACTTTCCCTGCTTTACTAGGCAATCCCAACCCTCTCTGTGGATCAGGTGCTGCAGATGATCCGTGGGAGAGGCACTTTACTGAGAAGCTCTAACCTGCCCCACAGATCGGACACAGCACTTGTACCTGAACCACTGGGCAATGAAGCCCACATACTACAACCACCCAGTGTAGTGGTCAGCCGGCCTGAGAGAAGCCGACAGGCCCTATTGGGGTAGCACGTGGAGCAGGAGGTTTTACTTCATTCATGGCCCTGACAGCAACTGCTAGATATTTTGGAGGCTACTTTTAAACAAGGGTTTACTGCTCTTTCAGAGAGTGCTGAACACATTTAAAAAGTTCTAAAAAAGTTGATGGGGGCAGCTACAGGTACAGTGGGAAGAGCCCCCCCCCACCACTTCTTGCAGTTGCTGCACCTGCCTGTCAGCTGTTTCTAGAACTATTATTAAACATTGGTATATCACTCTTCCATGAGAGTGCTAACCTCATGTTTAAATGCAGCCCCCAAAGGACTCTGGAGTGTATTCCCCCTCCACAGCAGGTGTCAGCAATCTTCCAGGCTGGCTGACAGGTGCTGGCAAAGGGAAGCCAATTCTTCCAACAGGCCTCCAGTCGCACAGTTCAGTTCTGCACAATCATTGACCTGGTGGGGAAGAAGTCAGATTCTCTCCTTCTCTTGCCTTTTCTCTGAGCCCTGGCAGGCTGGGGAACTGTTGTCAGGTCTGGCAGTGGTGGCAGGAGAAGTATAGAGAGATGTTTCTTTCCTCATTAGATCTTTGATTGCATAGAGCTGCTGGGTGAGGTGGAGAAGAGCTTATTTTGAAAGGACTGAACTCTCCCATTGCTGAAAGCAGAACAGCCCTGGAAGGCAGGATCCAGGAACAGAGGGGAGGGGGAGTGCCCTCAGCAGCCCAAAACAGCCAATGGGAGCTGGGTAGATCCCAGCCTCTGATGGCGTCATCAACCACATTGTCAGAGAGGCGTCGTACATTGTGTCGGGAGAAGAGGGAAAACACCTCTTTAATACTGGAACAGCTAAAGACAAATGAAAGCTGCATCCAGAGTGGACTCAGGATGAGTCAAAGGCAACAGATACATCTTTTAAAAATGGTTAGCAGGACATCTTTGTGCCATGGTTAGCACAATGTAAGGATGAGCCCTTAGTTTCACAGGTACATAACTTTTTTCATTCATTTTATTAATTCATTAATTCCTTTTATTATTCTCTTGCATTCTGAGCTGCAGTTGTCCATAGTTATGGTCAACACCAGATGGGCCTATAGATATGGACTGCTGCGGTTCATTGTGGCCTTGGTCTATCAAGGCTTTCCCATAACATTTTTAATAAATACATGAGGTAGAGGCTAGGATACTAGTCTTAGTCATGCTCATGCCACATACAGTGTGGCATTTCCTGCTAATGGTGAGAATAGGAAGTGTGCTGCAAGGCAACCGCAGGCCAGTTTTATCCCCAAATATGTTTATCCTATTCTGTGCAAGCTAGAATCTTTAATTTAGAGATTATTTTGCAGGTCAGCATACTCTTGCCTGTACTGTATCTGCTAGAAGGTGTATGCAATATACAGGCACACACTCAGGACTGGTAAATTCAAAAGAACCATTTGTCTTTTAGGGACCTCTTATTTCTTATTAAGAATTGCAATTTGATAGCAACTTTTGGAGGGGCTTTGGGGGCTGCATCCCAGTTTTCAGGCAAGGCCTTGGAGACATAGATTATGCAACCTCTATATCAGGGCAGTATGGATATGGGAAGTGAGATTTGGGAAGGGATTTGAAGAAAGAGAAGCCTCAGCACAAGTGTCCCAAGAGGCAATTCCAAATACACTATATAGTGACTAGCAAGAGAGAAGGGGAAGCGAATTTTGACAAGGAGGCCTTTGGATGGTAGTGCTTGATGGAGAAATAATAAGGGCAGAGATATATCAGACTGGAAGAGAGGGAGGCTAGAAAGCTGAAAGTAAATGGTATGCTTATGCTGAATTTATGAGCAAGGAGAGAGCTAGTATGTAGGGATAGCATTGTGTGTTTTGGATCCTTGTCCAAATAACTAAATTGGTGAGATTAAAATATATCATTGATAGGAATGAGGATGGTAAAACCACTGCTCCTGAAGCAATAAATAATGTTCCGAATCCTGGTACCCTGTTCCAAGAAAAAAGCTGTTTTGTGATATGTGACTTTTAATTTTGTTCTAGGTGTAAGCAGTTGGATGATTTCCTCATGGCTCTGTTGTACTACTTTTCTTTTTATCTGGAAAAAATAACCCTGGAGATGAAACCCAAGTCTTTTATGGGGTGAGTAAAATTATTTTTATGTTGTCTTAAGCAGACTCCTATAACTACAGTATGTACATAATATTGTATGGTAAGGTCCTGGTACTAAGGCAAAGGTATTCTCTTTCTTCAGACTTTCTCCATCAATGTAGGGATAGCATTTGAAGGCCAGGTTGCTCTGAATACAGTACCCTTGTACCATCTTACAAATCTGCATGTATTTTTTCAATGTCAAACAAGTTTAAGTTCAGAATATAGCATCTGAACTACACTGCAGACATAAACCAATTTCTCCCCTTTATGAACAACATGTTTTATACAGGAACTCCAGGAACTATCATATTCTGAAAGACTCTCTAGTAAGAATGTAGTTTTAGATTTTTAGCTCAAAGTGAAATTTTAGCCAATCTTTGGGAACAAGGACTTTCTAAGTGTAAATCAGTTAATTCTGCTCTGAGAAACTCAGCTTGAAAAACAGGTTTCTAGCCCTTTGTCAGTCTAAAATAACTTCTGAAGCCAGAGAAGAGACTAAGATAAATTTTACTGATCAGAGTGGCTCTAGTGGTATTGGTTTATGACCAGGGAAATAGCAAGTAGTACATAGTAATATAGGTTGCAGAATGTAGCCTTCTTGGCCCACATTTTTGATCATCTTCTGATGCATTTTTATTTTATTTAGCATGGTGATATATAAAGACCTGTCTTGCTTAGGAAGGGAGGGCCAGGGATCAGTGGCATTAGGAAGCTCTCTGCTTCAATTCTCAGTAGTCCCTGGGGTTCTCTGAGCTTGGTTGTGTGGAGTCTGGTAGTGTGGAGTCCTTGGGGTTCTCTGAGCTCAACCAAGCTCAGAGAACCCCAAGGACTCCACAGTTCAACCCTGAGCTACACAAATTCTCTTCTATTGCTAAATCTCAGTAGTGCCAATTGAAAAAAATCACCATCTGGGAAAGATGTCTTAATCCAAGACCTTGAAGAACCACTGCCAGTCAGAGAAGACAGCAGAATCGAGCTATATGGACAACAGTTCTATGCAATAGGTCATCTTATAACAGAGAGAGTAGTTAAATTATAAAAGGCTTTCAGGCTTGGTGTTCTTTGCTTGATGATTTCATTATAGACTTGCTGGCTAAAGCTGTGTATTTTGAAGTCCCACAGTGCCTCCTGGAGCTCCACCCATATAGTTTTCATCCTCCCATCCCTTCATGACCTCATTCTTTCTTCAGGCATTTCTAGCATCTTCTTTAACATACTTGATTCAACACCTCTTAATGTTCTGCCTCTCCCACTTTCTATCCTTTGGTCCTTTTGAAGTTTCTCCTACCACAACTTTGAAAATTGGTATAATGTACCCAATCCTGTCTTAAAGCTGGTCAAGCCAGTATCTGGATCTGAATATTTATTGCTGGTATACAAAACGGAATAACTCATTATGACCTGGCTGTTTCCCTGAAATATTAAGGATAACTTAAAGCAAGGCTGAAGGTCCTCCAGTTCAGGTATTATGTTCAACTCTTCCAGCTTTAAGTTGTTAGACAAACAGGAATAAGTTCAGGATACCAAATATTGTTCTTAAGCTACCATTACAAGAAGTCAACTTCTAGTTGAATATTAAGGAATCATCTTAAGGGCTACAGTTGTATAAACACAGAACCAATTACTGACAGAGAAGTGGTGAACTCTGGTTCTCTGAATGTGTTTGAGCAGAAGCTGGCTCTCAGGGATGTTAACTACATCAGCTTGCCCCATTAGATCCAGCAGAAAAGACATGCTGTGGATGCCATTTGCCAGGGACTTACATTTGGTGGGTAATGGTGGCAGCCTTCTTTGCTGTGGTGCCTGCCTTATGGAATATTCTCCCCACTGAAATTAGGTTAGCGCCATCCCTCTTGATGTTCTGGAAGTCCCTCAAGACTTGGTTGGGTCATTAGGCCTGGGGGTCCTAGAGAACCGGAGACATGTTTAGATGGCTCCACTATTGAGGTGGATATATTCATTATCTCTCTGCCTGGGGTTTGTATATATTTTAATTTTAATTAATTTCTATTTTTTTAATGTTGACTTTTTATATTTTAAAGACTTTTTATATATATTTGTTTTTAAATACTTTTTATATATGTATTGTTTTTTATTTGATTATTGTATGCTGCCCAGAGTCACTTCTTGTGAGATGGGTGGCTATATAAATTGATTGATTGATTAATTAATTAATTAATTAATTAAGATTCCTGCACTGAGCAGGGGGTTGAACAATCCCTTCCAACTTTGGGATGCATTCCAAAAAGGAGGGACTGAGACAAAGAAGAGCATAGGTTCAAAATGAAAATGAACTTGACTTAATTAATTTTAAATTTAATTACAATTAAGATGAACATCCACCATGTATTTAACAATTTTTGTTTAACAATTTTTTTCCTTCTATCACATTAAAAATTAGAAGCTGATGTATGCCTTATGGAGGGACTGGCTCCAATTTAGGTTTTAATTCTTAAACAATCCTGAAGGGAAATTTTGCATGATGAATTCAGTCATAGAACAAACATTATTTGTATCAGTAAGTGTTTTATGCTGTGCTGGGTCACAACTTTCAGCTTTTGAATAACCCTGCTGGGACTTTTGGAAATGTCAGCATTAATGTTTGTCCTTCTCTTGACCTTTATAGAGGCATTCTAGCACTATCCTTCCTGTGTCTTGTTGAAGCTTCTAGCGTAGCTTCTGATCTATTAATGATAGTCTTGTGGAATCAAAATGCAGGACACGAATGCAAAATAATCAAGGCTTCACTGCAGTGTTTATTACGCAGTATGTACTGGAGGGAGACCCCACCAAAGGTTAGTGGGAGACCCTCCCCTAAAGGCAAAATGGATGCCCTGATATTTGTACAGT